ATTCCTGATGCTTCCAGGAACTGAATGAAGTCTTTTCACAAACACAAACCAGAAACAAATCTTTTTTGTAGTTTCCTCCAACCTTCCTCACTGGGTTTTTTTCCCTTGCCACAGGTAAGATAAGGACATATTAATAAAGATCCATCTACTGCTACTCGTGTCTGATTTTTTTCTCACATAAAATGCAGACATTTTCCTGTTTGGATTGAGAAGAGGAATCAGATTTGTCCTCCCTGTTTCTATGGTTCCTCTCCTGATACCTAACAGTCTCCATCAATCTTGTTAATTTTCCTAAATAAAAACCATCTTGCTATACTTCCTTTCTTTCTCTTTGAAGATGTCTCTGCTCTCAAGATCCTATTTTGAAGAAACCATTATGAAGCAGGACAGCAGAAGTCCTATGCTATGAATATTACAAGAGAAAATTCCCTGTAACTTAATTCAGAGCATCGAATCAAGAACACTGAATATCAGTATTAGTAGCTAGCCTTTAAAGTAGGATAAAAAGATATTCACTGAACAGATGGAAAATTGCTTCACTAACAGCTAGATTCAACATGGTGGTGCAATAAATGCTCTCCCTCTGGAAGTTCTTAAAACATGAATTGCCAGAATCTGGGAGAGTAAGGTTGGAAAAAGATGGATTTGCATATATCGTATTTCTTTGAATCTTTCCCTAAATGTCTCCAGTAGCCTCTATAAAGACGCAGCATACTGGGCTAAGTAGATCTTTGCTTTTTGACTAGTTTGGGAGTTCTAAAGAAAGGCAGTATGACATTAATTAAAGAAATTCAGCTCTTTATCTGCACTGATTTCAAAAACACTTTTCAAACTTAAAAGTACTGAGATACTGGATAGCTTAATTTTTAGCTATCATAAAATCTTCATGAACTCTCAGAAGCAAAGGAAATAAACGGAAAGGAAATAAATCTTCTGGTTTGTAAGAAATGATAGCTCATTGACAGTAGAGCTGAGAATTGGTTCTTCCCCCTCTCATATCCTTTTCTTCATATGCTCCAATTGTCCACCTTGTGCTGATGTATCAGATCATAAGTTGATTAAAGTCTCTGTATGTAAATAGTTCGTTCTTTGTTTAATTGAGTGAATTAAAGTCAAGAGAGAGTCCAGGGGCCACACAGCTGTGAGCAGGACCCATTTTGGTGGCAGAGTTTTGTTTGGTCAGCTCTGCTGCTCATGGAACTACAGCCTTAGAGCCCATAGTGTCCTGTCTAATGGAAAACACCCCTCACTACTCCCTGCCACTTGGAAAACTCAGTATTACTCTAGTTTCATGTGCACAGCCCACCTCCCAGATAACCCACACTATTCTAAAAGTACTGTTCCAAGAAAATACTCAGAAAACCACATCTCCAGTTTGAACTAGCTTTTATTCCACATTTGGTTACAATGCACTAAGCAACAGCACACTATAAAACTCTGTGCTTTCAAAGATCGTATAAATACCATCATAACTGTGATCGCATCTCACAAATTTGTCCCTTCCAAGGAAAACTAAACAGAAAATGAGATAATGAAAAATATCAATCGATGCTTATATCATAACAAATTATCCTTCCATCAAATATTCTTAAGTCTATTAAAACTGCTAAGCTAAAAGCCTTCACCCCTCATGTTTACCCACATAAGCAAGGAACACTTTCCTCCCTTCCAGTTTACTACCTACGTACCTGCATACCAGAGTGCATAGATGTACAAAGCAAGGCATACTAAGATATGCTACAGTGACTATGACTTCTGAAAGGACTGCAGTGACTTTTGATACTGCCAAATATCACCAAACAAGTGCTCCATCCACTCTTGCAGTACACCTTGAAGGATGAAGGAAAGAGAAAAAAAACAAAAACAAAAACAAAAAACAACCCCAAAAAGGTAGTACTACCTTTTTTGACTAGATTGGTCATGGTTTCACAGATTCTCAGGTAGAGCCTGGTTCACATCCACGTAAATTAGCAACACCACAATTTAAAACTAGCGGAACTTTACCACTAATAATAGCAGAAGTCACTAAAATCTTCCTTCTCCCTTGCAAATGGAAGCTATCAATGAAGAGCAAAGGGTAAAATGAGAAGCCAAAATAGACTGGAAGACTCTTTTAGAAAGCAAAGTTAAACTGGCATTACATTTAGGAGAAAATCTTGTCAAAATATTGTTTCCTGTTACAGTGTTTACATTAGTATTTATAACATACCTGTTACCTGTTTCTTCAACTTTTCAATTTCTTCTTTCAAACTTTTAATTTCTAAATCTTTGCTTGCTGTTATTGGGCCATCCACTGTTGAATACTGCAGAGCCTGGACTGTCTGGGTGGACTCTAGAAAAACATGGCAGAGAGGGGGAAAAATTACACACCTGACATCTGAGGAGGTCAAAAAGATGTTACTGATAAATTAAGACATGCCAAAAGACCCTCCACTGAGCATTCTACAATTTATAATTGCCAACTACTAAGTTCCAATTTTTCAGTAATTGTCAGCTGGACAAACTAAGTTCTTAGAGGCTTTAAGAATGAAATCTTTATGCCACAGTAACCAAGGCATGGTGTGAACAATGTTAGCACGTTATAAGAAGTTGCATATGCAGGATATTTCAAGCATAAAGAGTAACAGAATTTTAATTTGTCAATGGAAATAATGAAGAAAATTCTTTCCTGCTAGAAAGCACTCCAGGAGGTATATTTATTTTTTTCCACAGTATAAACCATACCTTACAAAGCTGCAAGCTAATCTAAGTCAAAAAAGTGATTGAATGATTTTTTTACATGACTATACCTTGCAGTTTTCTACTAAGTTCAAGCTTTTCCTGTTCTAGACGTCTTATTCTCCTTTCATATGCTTCTGTTGCTAAACTATCCTCCAAAGTTCTTTGAATGCTGGCATCAAGATCCATGGAGGGTGGTCCAGCTGTCAGTCTTAGACAGCTGCGGTCTGAAAGCACACTGAGGGAAAAACATTAGAGTACTGGATTTTACAACAGGCTGTGCTTAAAATAATAATTAAAAAAAAATATCAACAAATAAATAGTTGTTTAAATTGTTAATTACTATGTACTTTTTTTATACAGTCAAGTAATACCTTGATAGTATGTGCTCATTAAAAATTTAATTAATTTTTACCTAGCATGACTGATCTCCTCAATGCATTTTTTGTTACATAAAAGTGAGGGAACTCCCGATGAAAAATTATCAGTATGGACAGTCTACATTACCAAGATAGCAAAAAGCAACAGTCTAGGTAGTCAGTAAGATTACAATAACAGTTTATTTTAAAATAATTAAAGTATTTGGGAAACTTGATTAAAGACAACAATCACAACAAATGGTGTGAAATTATCACATGACAACTAGGGCATGGACATATCAGAAACGCTCTAGCCCTGATTCTGTGGATACTCATGTACACATACTACTACTTATGCAAATAAGAAGCCTACAGGACATGTCACATAACAAGCATTAAACACATGTGTTTGCAAAAACATAGGCCTGGTTTTTCAATGGTTGTAAATGTTCCTTATTTATTTATTTATTTTCATAAATGGATCAAGGAGCTTAAATGGACTTCCTTGTTACTGTTTAATTTAGCAGTAGAGACGAACATGACAAATACCGCATTAATACCAAATATTGATACAAGTAATTTTTAAAATTTCCACTCAGACTTACAAGAGCATAAAAGGACTAGAAATAAAACTGTTTTTAAAGTCTAATAAGTTCTCTCTGGGTCCACACATCTGGTCATAACTTTGCCATATGCAGTTAACTTCATGCATTGTCTGAAAACCACCTTTCTCAAAAAAACTCCTCTGAACATAGGTGGTGACCTTTAAATTTATGTAAACTTTACCTGTAGAGAGCTCATTCTTTTGGAAAGACAGCATTTTAGAGTATGGCCTAGTAATTTCCTCAATAAACCACATTCTTTGGTGTTTGCAGCTGGTTTCAGAGACAGAAACTTAAGATATTACGTAACTATCCTACAGACAATTTTGGAACTCTTAACTTACCAGCTACTTGTATACGTGAAACCCACAAATGGTAAATGATGGCCAGAAAATGCAGTGTGTGATGGTGGAGGCATTGTTTCCTAGGAAAATAATAGGACAGTTGAGTAAGTAATAGCCTACTGGACTTAAAAGGAAAAGATTTTTTAGTTTAACCATACGTGAAATGTTAGTGATAATACCGTATTAACTATATTCACAGTCATCCTTACCTACAGCCCAAATATGAATCCACATCATCTAAATGTATTTATAATAGCATGCAATATACAAAAATACAGCATGCTGGCATAAAAATGCTTTTCTAATTAAACAGGCCATCCTTGGAGGAAAGCAGAACATTACACATACTAAAACCCAACTTACTCCTCCTTTTTTCTAGGAAGCTCTTAGCCCCAAGAGTATCACCTTTATTCCCTCCTATACTCCTCTGTGCTCTTTAGTCAACAGGGCATCCTGCCTGTAGATTTACCAACCCCACTTCCGAGTGGGCTATCTCTATGTGGAGAGAACAACCGTCAGACATTTACTAGAAAGAAATAATACAATAGGGTTTTCTAATCCTGCCAGTGCTTTGACCATTTCTTCCTTCATTGTTCCTTTTTCCTGACAGAAAAAGAACTACAAACCGAGATAAATCTTTGAGTTCCTCCTCAGGCTAAAATAACCCTGTTGCTATATTATTCGAACCACTGTAAGTTGTAATATTCTTAAATATCCTGTTAAAAGTTTCCTGTTTAACCCCAAGATGCAAGGTTTATGTTGCTATACTAGAGATGACCTTAACAGTCATCAAAAGAAACTCTCCAAGAAGATGATTATCATACAAAGTGCTAAAAGGTTCTCAATTTTAAGAAAAAGTAACATAATTTTTTTTCCCCCAAACAAAAAAACACCAATGACATGGCTGGATTGTATAAGTACATCAAGTCTACATTGTTGGGCATTTCGGAAACAAAGGACAGACCAAATTACAAAGCCTTCACTTTACTGATTGATAATAAAAATACCAATTATTACACAACACAGTTAAGAAAAGTAAAATTCTTTCTCCCTTATACTTTAATTTCACATTTCATAGAGTCAAAACCATCTTCACGAATAACTAAAAAAGACCAAACGCATAATTGTGTTTTTTAACAGCCCGTATGACAGTTTTCAGTTACCACACAGGTAACTGCATGTTGGTTCTACAATATTGTCTCTATTGACGATGATGTAAGATTCTGTAAAAGAATTTGTTTCTTTGCCGATTCTTTGGTGGAGATCAAAATACTTATTTCCTGCTAGTTATGTGAATTCAACTGTGTTATCACACTGACAAAATTATAACTGAATCTATGTCTACTGTGCCTATCCGTAAGGCTACCAAACTGAACAGTTAAAAGCTAAAAACCTGCAGAACTTAGGCTGCCTAACAACACCGTTCTGCCCTTTGTGTGTCTGTGTACTTTTAACACACTGTTTGAATTACATTATTATGTATATCATTTTTCCATGGGACCACAGTCTCATTCCAAGTTCAGGCAGGACAATAACACTCAGAGCTTTTCAACATTGCCTTTTATCTCCAGCACTGGGCATACCTCATCAGCTGTATGCCATTCAAACCTTGCAAAGAATTTAAAAGGAAAAAAAAAAAGTCTCATGGGCTTGTCTGTGGTGCTGACTTCTGTAACAGTAATGCAAGTATGTGAACTTTCCTCACAAGATGTGTATGGAAGACAGCAGGGAGAACACCTCCAAGTAACATATAAGAATTTAAGAGGAACTAATATTAAATACAATGTCCACTAGTTGAAGCAAAAATGTAAAATACTCAGTCATGCAATGCCTCAGGCTAGGTTTTTTTCAGAGATGCTAGGTGCGAAAAGAAATGGTAAAAATATAACCTTAAATTAAACAAAACAAAAAACTACCTTCACATGTTTCAAATGAGGAAACTGAAAATGAAGCTCCAGAAACTATCATTCATCTTGAACAGTCCAATGGCATTGCTTTTCACCCCCGAAAGTCTAACACAAATTAAGAATTGGACTCTGTTTTCATGCCTGAGTCTAATAACTCATCACATTCCTTCTTCACCTGCAGCTCCCTGCTTCTTTACAATGGGAAAATACTCACACCACACAGGCACCTTTTGAGTGCCTGAACTGGGAGATTAGGCTCCAAAAAGGAAGACCCCTGGACTGGCCAACATTAGAACGTGTGAATAACTTCCAAAAGGTATTTCAGCTTCACAAACATGGCTTCAAAAAGATTTGCTACATACGTTCTTGTTCAAAAGCATAGAACACTAAGGTTCTTAAAAATCAATAATTGCAAAGCTTCTTAAGCAAAGGCAAAATAATTTCTTTCTCACTAAGATTGTTCCTGAAGAAATGGCTGTAACATTTCTCTCCTCCTAAATTTCCCAAAACGCAACTCAAGTCAGAAAACAAGCTGGAAAAATTTTAGTGGGAATGAACTGAATGGAATCTGACAGAGATATGAGCAGAGTAGAGCACTACAATAAAATGCATTATGCAAACTCAGTGCAAGTCTCAACAATACTTGGCTAGAAACACTGTGTCTTGCAGACTATCTACATGTAAATATATTATTCTTTATAAGACATGGACATTAAGAACTTGTAACCGCACATAACAGATGCATGTGTTAGTTAAATACGTGTAAAGTTACAATGAATTTATGAAATTGAACTGAAGTTATCCTTACACATATATGTTTGGAGGATCAGCCTCCAAACTATCAATGTATTCTCCCCACAGTTCTTCAAAGCAGCACTTATTTGTTGTTTATGCAGAACACAGTGAACACACTGAAATAAACTGCCATTTGCATATATTTTGTTATAAAGTATACTACAAAATCAAAATATTGATTCTATACTTACAGAATTTTTTAAGCAATCATCATCCACATCAAAGTTTGATGTATCAGTGGGGCTGCTGACTTCTGGGATGTAAGGTGCCTCACAGTTTCTAATGTTGTCCCAATCAATCCCAGCAAAAAACGGATGGTTCTTAAAGTCTTCTATCCCATTTTGTCCAAGTCGATGCTCTCTGCTACAAATGAGCCTTCGGATGAGGTCCTTTGCGCTTTCAGAGACATCTGTCACTTGAGCAGGAAACTGAAACCTCTCCTTAAAGATTAAAATAAGAGACAATAGTTTATTACCAAGCTGGAAAAAACACCTTTCTTAGTGAAAATCATTACGTAGAAAAAGAAATGTGCAAATACTCCAGTTCTTAAATATATGCAGCAAGTTTTTTAGGAAAAAGACTTCTCCAAAGGATTGAAACTACTGGAATTTTTTTGTCTCCTAGTTTTTCTTCCTTATTTAAATTTCTCTTACACTGTTGAATTCTACAGCTACCTCCATGTGGAAGAACGTTTAAGAATCTTCTGCATAAGCCAACCAATGGATCCACCAGAAGAAAGTAACACAAAAAGGAGTGATGTAACGTAGCCAAGATTAACTCCACAGAGTGAACTAACAGCCATGTTTCCAAATCCACATTTTTAGTTTTGAACTGCTTTGTCCTAAAGCAAAGCCATCTGTAATCCATAACCATAAACCTACTATGTGGAAACCTGTTTTTGGTTCTACATTTATGAACATTAACATAATTAGTACATAAAATTCTCATTTTTAAATAAGCCTTCAAGTTACCCTATTACTTATTAAAAATTAGCTTAGAGACAGAGACAGAAAGAGAAAGTGCACTAACTTTGTGGTTCATTATTTTCCCATAGGTCTCCACCAAGGACTCAGCATAAAAGGGCGTTTCTCCATAAAGCATTTCATACATGCAAACGCCTAGGGACCACCAGTCACACTCGGGCCCATACTTCCCTTTTCCATCTTCCATGGCCTGCAAGATTTCTGGAGAGATGTAGTCTGGCGTTCCAACTGCCACTGAAGACTGGACCTGTAGAAGTTACATTTCCAGGACTGAAATCAACTTGCATCGTTACAGACACTGCTGTTCGTGACACTATGCACGTTTATACAAATTTAGCCTAGTGTTCTGGTTATAACAACAGTAACTAAACACAAACAAAGGCTTCTAAAGTCATAAAGAAATACTTAAGCATCCAAGGTACTGCATTAACAGGCATCTCAATAATATACTTCTGCTAATCTCTCACAAATATTTAATAACAGAGAAAGAACAAAACTGTCAATTCTTAGGCTTCGAGCTGTTAAGTAATTATAGATTAGGTAATCACATATATTAACACAAATACATTGTAACGCTCCGGGACATGATTAACACACTGGAATTACATTCTAGTCACACCTACTATATCCTGTGCAAGTTTAGATATACTACAATTAGCAGATCAGCATATTTCAGCATCTCATCCTGCTTATACTAAAGCTTACATTTTCAACAAAGATGAGAGCTCAGAGCTCAAAACTGAGAGATTCATCATCAAAAACCTACTCAGTACTGACAGTACAGTTTCTCTTTTATTTATTCACGAGTTGACTATATACATCTAAAAAGCTTATTAAAAGCTTTAACATACAGTAAATCCAAGCAGTGTGCAGTCATATTTTGAACCAAGGTTAGTTACATACTAATACCATTACAATTCCATTCCATTTGACATAAGGAACCTTTTCTCTTTATTACGACACATTTTAGTGGCTAGCAAAGGAGTGAAGAAAAAAGGTTTATGAAAATATCACTTTCTTATTTACCGTTCCATCTTCCATCAGTTTCAGACAAGAACCAAAATCTGCTAATCGAATATGTCCATTCATATCCATCAAGATGTTGTCAGGTTTAATGTCCCTGCAATTAAAACACATTTCAGAATTAGTACAAAAATGTACTGCATACATTATAGTCCAAGCATTAACTCTGCAACACTCTTGCCATTCAAAACCAGCAACAGATCAGTAGATGGAACACAATCACTCATCATATGGTAAAATTTGCACCAGGGACATTTCGTGACAAGGGCTGTAGATCAAATCATATAATGCGTGTTAATTTTAATAAGAATTGTGCTGTTAAATTCCTCTCATCTCTCACAGGTAGATAGGAGAATCTCACTTGCTCTGAACTTTTGTACATCAAACTTTTAAATTGTCTGAAGAATTTTAGTGAAGTAACTCTCAAGTGAAGGATGCTTACACTGGAGCTGGATGTTTTCCTGTTAAGTTTTCCCACAGAACAAAGGTCAATGAAACCCTAAAATAATTAACGTGTTTTTAAATTTAGTGTCTTTCATCAACATTTTCCTCTCACGTGTGTCTCAGCTCACTACATATGTCTGTTGTACTTCTGCTGAAATGACCAACAAAGCCATTGTACACACTACTGCAGCTCTGCTTGTCCAGATTCTGCAGCTGTCTCATGCAGGTCATGATACACATGGAAAAATCCTTCTAAGCAGGCAACATAGTAAATACTCCTTATTTTGTAAGTTTGACTCTTTTTGTCTTGTGTTTTACAGATACCTAAGTATACTGAAATACAGATGAAGTGTACGCTGCCAGTATGCAGCTGACTAGGATGAAAGCATCTATGCTCTCTAAGTTACCAGAGGGACATTTATTGTTCAACTTGCAAAGGAGGTTCAAATGTTGAAATTCGTTTTCATTCAAGTACAGTTATTAGAAATACCCACTAAGCTACATTTTTAAAATAGACGACATTATTACATTCTTACTCTATCCTTAGCTATTACGTTCAAAAGGTAAATTATGACTCTACAAATAAAGTACTACAAATACTTTGTCAGTGAACAGTCACTTCTAAGGCATAAGAACAAATCCCCTAAAACAAACAAAAAAACAAGTGAAGCCCCATATGCTTCACTCCCTTAACAACTTATGTCATCAATTGCTTTGCAGACAAATTTCAAAATATTCACACTGCAAATGAGAGCAAGGTTTTGTTGTTTGGTTTTGTTTTGTTTTTAATAAAAAATAAGTTATTAACAATGTTTACTGAGAATTTATAACGGCAAAAATATTACAACCACACCTTGAACAACATTATAGAAGCAATGGCATGAAGGTGTCGCACTGTGACACACTCAGTGACAATTAACATGGTAACAGTGTTTTGAAGAAAAGTACTTTCTGAATTTGTGTTACCCAAAGACAAGCAGGGAGTGGCCCATGCTGAAAACAAGTCTTAGCCACCTTCCAAATATGCAGAAACATTTATAAAGTAAAAAGCACACACTACTTAAGAAATCATACTTTTGCATCTTGCAACTGAGCGTAAAGACAATTCTTTACAAAGTAAATAATAAAAATTAACCAGGTCCATTCTCTAATTGACATTCTTCCACTTGATTTTTGTTGACACTGAATATGCCAAAGAATTGCAGCCTCCAGATTGAGATACTTTTATTTATTTTACATTCACCCACCAAAAACATTCTCTTAAATATGTTTCTAAATAAAAACAAACACATGCTATTGAGACCTCTGGGATTGTAACTTCAGTTTAAAACACTTTGGAAAAACATGCACCTAAAATCAAGTTCCTCGTAGAAGCTGGACCTAGTTCAAGCTAAACAAAAACATGAGTCACCCTCGAGGTTCCATTTATCCATGTTCTATCTTTTAATATATTCCCAAGAGAAATAATAACAACAATAATAACAATAATAACAATAATCACCACCATCATCATACCAACCTCCCCCATTTGATCTCACAAAACAGCAGAAAACATGAAAAATCTCACTCTGTTAACATTGCGCAAAAACAAACCTGCAAACAACACTGAAAGCACTCAGAGGAACAAGTATTTCTTGCAAAGTGAAGTTTGTAAGGCTCAGTAATAACTTCACAAGAACAATTTTTATACTTAAGGAAAAAGAGACCAGTGTAATGCATACAAATTTTTTTCAGCTCTTGTAACAGAAGGTATGAGTTATGAACAACTGTTCTGAATTCAACTGAACTACGTTAATAAAAGACAGTTTGAAAGACAAGAATTGCTGGCACCTGCAGAGCAGAGTAGGCTATAAGCAAAGGGAAAGTTAAGAAAATTATGAGCCCCAAAGGGGAATGAGGAAGGGGAGTAATTATTGCCAGTGTAACTGAAGAGTTCAAAGGTGGTGATTATGGGGAAAAATAATATGTCATAAACCTCGCATGTTTACTGAGCCTACAATTGTTACATTCCATTAGAATTATGAGTTTTGTTCCAGGTTATTGTTTCAAACATTTGGTGACTCCCCTCTAGTGATCAGAACTGATTCTTCTCCTGTTCTAAACAGAGCATGGTCTTCCCTCTTCACATCCACTCCACCTTCCCCACCTCATCCCAGTTTCTCCACTGTATGAACTGGTTCCCCCTTCCCATGCTTCCATCTCTGCTGCAGTTTTATTCCTATTATCCCCTGCCTCACCTCAAAAACTGAGATGTCCAATAACTCCACAGCCTATCAAACCCAAATCTCCTCCCCTTTTATTTCCTTCTTTCACTCTCAGCTTCTTCGCTCCTAAGTCCTAGTCTCCCTGCATGTACACATTAACTGATCTTTTTTTCCCTCTCATCTCAGTTCTCAGCAGTCACTATTTCCCCATTAGTCACTTCCCAGAATCCCTTCCCATTCCCACTGGCTTTCTACTCCTCTAATCCTTACTATCCTCTTTCCTCAGGTCTAAATTTTGTTCTGTTGCACAGGAACCTTCTTTGGCACCAAAAGGAAGAGCACTATTAGCAACAAAGAGTCTCCACGCTGGTAAATAGACACTAGAGACAGCATCTCCCACAATTGCAGGACAAGTCCCTTCATTCTTACAGCTCTGAAACGGTGCAAACCTACAGCAGAAGAAAACTGAAAAGCATTTAGGGACCAAACTCTGCGTATGGTGTTTGAAATCTGTAACAACTGGTATAGTGAGGGGAAAATTATAACCTGAAAATATTTAGGAGGGGGCAGAAGAATGGAAATACATCTATGACTCAAGGAAGATTCTCTCCTGGATTTCAACAGTGTCTCCATATCCCAGAGCAGAAGAATTCCTAACAGGGCTTGTTATAAGTATTTTATTCATTTAAAATCTATATAGGAAGAGCAACGCATGTTTCTTGATCTTGTTCCTGGAAAGAGATCATACTTACTGCTTCAGGTAGATATTAAAGAAGGAAAATTCCAGATCAAATACCTAAAATCTGGCAAAAGTAATGAGCAAATAATTAAAAGTTATGTGGTTTAGTGAATAAACCACTGGGCTGAATCACCATAGATATGAGTTACTAGGCGATTGTGGGCAAGCCATTCCAACATCACTCAACGATAACACTGGTGCTCAGTCAAGCAGCTAATATCATCTGGCTAGAAGGCTATGGAGCCCTAATACTCTAATAACCTCATAATCAGTTCACTATAATAAAAGAAAAAGGTCTTCTCACTTGAAATATTAAATAAAAATTCAGTTTCAAGAAGCAGAAGCATTTGGAAGCCATTTTATGAACAGATTTTTTAGTGGGAGCAAGTACTGAATTGGGAGAATTGCTCTGACACCCGTGTGCCCTCTGGAGCCCCTGAGTTCTACTGAGTCCCAGACAGTTCAGCCCCACCATTGAGAGCAGCTTCTGGGGGCAGCCCAATGTGCAATGCATACAGGCTGTCAGAGTTAGACCTGGTACACATCGAGCTAGTACAAGTTCTTCAAATGTACTCCACAGTAAATTAAGGGGACGTAGGTACTCAGCATACCCCAAGAAATACCAACCTTCCTTATATCAACTTTTTTGTCACATTGCCACCTGAGGGTGTGAACTGAGCAAAGACTGCTGTTCTGCTTTTTTTTGCTTGAGTGATATACCAGCATCAAAGGAGCTAGGAGTCTGGACCAAATAAGTTTCTTTTAAAAAACACATATGTCCATTTAAATCATGACCCCAATACAGAGTACAGGAGTGAATTCTATTTTTCTGAGTTGCACTGGCCTTGGCTGCATGAGAAAAATCAGCACTGCACAGCAGCTTGGATAAAGTGATTCTCTTTGTATTTGTTATGCAGACTTTTGTTATTTGCTTCTGTTCATCTGGAGAATGCTATAGGAATAAACAGTCTGTGTGACACTGGAAACTTAATTTGCACAGAAAATGAGTGTGGAAGCTTATGAAAAAAATTCTGAAAAAATTTTAATGAATCATTTTCCTAATGGTTCTTGGGTTAATTTGGGAAGCTGTTCTTCAGATTGTCCTGTTTACCCGGATGACTTCGCTCACCTCTCTTTAGAACAGTTTACTTTCTTAAGCCATAATTAAAACCCAAACATTTTACATACTAACTGTGTTAATATAAACAACATTCTGAAACAGGATTACAGCAGGTATCTGGATTATTGCCATTCATTTTGATTTCTCTGTTAATGAGCCAGAGTAGAATTTCATTTGTTCAGTAAGCCTCAAGAAAAAGTATTCCCTCTGCGACATGCTAAATCCATAGCACATTCCAGCTGTAAAAGAAACTAAGAAGAATTTTTAATACATGTGAAAGTATTTTTTTTTCCTGGATTCATTTCTGATTCTAAATGAAACTTCAGGAATTGTGAGGTCTTGCATATTGAAATTTGGGCTAGGCAACCTCCTTAAGTTCCTTCCAACTTGAATTACCTGATCATCTTAGGGTTTCAAAGCATACCTGTTCCTGAGGTTCATCTATGTCATTCTTTGAATCACTGAATTAATGTTACACAGTTATTTGCAAGACCGCATGGAATTCCTCAGGTTTACAGCACAGGAAGCATCAGATTCCAGAAGAATCTTAAGTTAATAGTTTCATAGGCAGCCTCATGGAGGCAGGGGAC